TCAAAAATTATTTTCTATTAATGTTCTATAAATTTTGTATTAACTAATAAAATTAATTTTGTGACACGTTTTCGAAAATATTGTTTAAATTAATTGACTATCACAAATTGACATGTATGGAGAGGACATCTTTCAATTAATAATTAATTATAATTATTAATAATTATAATAATTACATTAATAACAAACGTATAAATTAAAAAATAATAATAATCAAATTAATTAATTGAACATAATAATTAAATTTAAATTATTATCATTAATTACATTTCAAATCAGTTAAGATTAAAATTTTTTAGTTTTTAATACTTAAAAAATTTTTAATTAAATAAAATTAAATACTTAAAAAAAATATAAAATTAAAATTTTTAAATTCTTTTTACAATGAATAATTGCTAATAATTAAAGTTACGATAATTAATTATTTACTTACATCCATTGGAAAAAAATAACAATTATTAATTAACTTAATTAATTAATTTACTATCTTTACTGTAATAAAAATTATGAATTAATTACCAATTCTTAATTTATATATTAAAATGTAAGCAAATGTCGATTTCAAATCTAAAATCGGTTTTAAAATGAAACTTTGTTTTTTACTGTGAAAGATAATAAATTAATAATTTAATCAAAATAATTTTAATTAACAATTGTTAATTTATGATTTTTTTACAGTGAAGATAGTAAATAAATAAATTAATCATAATTTTTACTAACAATTGCAACTTATAAAAAGATAGGCGTTTACAATTTTCATAAATAAATAAACTTCAAACGGTTTCAATTTGAAATTTTATAAAATTTCAATTTTGAATGAATTTAATTAGAAAATTTAATGAACTTAAATTTTTGAAAAATTTTAATACTTTAAAATCTTCTAAAATTAGTTAAATTCGTCAAAATATATTTAATTAATTATTAAAAATAATGGATTTACAGAAGAATTTTAGTTAAAAACACAAAATAATTGAATTTTGAAGAAGTTACAAATTATTGCAGAAATTCAATTATTTTCAAAAGTAATAAAATTCTTTTCAAAAATTCAATTATTTTAAAAGTTTTTAATAAAATTTTTGACAAAATTCAATTTTTCAACAATTTTTAATAAAGTTTTTGTCAAAATTTCAATTATTTTCAAAAATTTCCCTCAATTTCATATGAATTCTATTATTTACAAATTTCTTCGCAATAATTTAATTATTTTCAATGAATAATAAAAATTTTTACAGGGATTGAATTATTTTCATAAATAATAAAATTCTTTGTAGGAATTCAATTATTTTCATAAATAAAACTCATCGTAGAATTTAAATTATTTTTAATACAATTTTAATCGAATTCCTCGAAAAATGGAATTCTTCTTAACAATTTTATAAAAATTTGTCAAAACAATTCAATTATTTAAAAATTTGTTAATAAAATTCTTTATAAGAATTAAATTTTAAGAAACATTCAATTATATAATTTACTTTTGTATTTAAATAATTGAATTCTCGTAGAATTTTCTAATAAAAATTGATTTGAAAATGAATTTTAGTTTAAATTTTAGATAATAATAGAATATGAAAATAATTTTTGAGAAGTTACAGTAACAATATTCTTATATCATAAAATAGTGATTTTAACATTCGATATCTTCTTTAAGTTTTATAATAATATTTTTAAGGTTGATTAATTTCAAAAAGGTTTGAATTTAAAATTTTTGAAAATCTTAATTCTTGTGGAAAAATGATAATAATAATTAAATATTTTAAATATTTAAAAAGAAATTATTGTTTTCGAAAAATTTTAAAATATTAAAGATATTCGTAAATAAATTGTAACCAAAACATTATTTTCAATAAAATTTTTTCTCTTATTTTCTAAAAATTTAAAAATTTTCAGTTTCATTTTCAATTAAATTTTCTAATTGACAAATATAATTTATAAACATTTTTTTCCTTTATTTTTTAAAAAACTTTGAATTTTTTTAAAACAATTGAAATTAAGAAATAGAATTGTTGCAAATTATTTCCAAATTAAGAAATAGAGTTGTTGCAAATTATTTCCTTATGAAAATTAAGAATTTTCTACAAAAATATTAAGAAACGGGAATATCTATAATGTTTTTCTTTCCAAAAGAAAAAAAAATGAGTTTGTAAACAATATTGTTATTGAGAAATAAAAATTATGCATAAAGTGGGTATATTTCCTACTTCTTAATCAAAATTTTTTAAAGATTAACAATTGAATGAAAGAATACGGAGATTAATATTAATATTATTATTATTATTATTATTATTATTATTATTATTATTATTATTATTTATTATTATTAAATAAATATTATTTAATATTATTAATTAGCAAATAGAAGAATTTGAATGATTAAATAAATGATGAAAAATAATTTTCGCTTTGTAAGAATAATTTGAGAAAAATATGTCCCACTTTGATTAAAATGGAATGAAATGATTCGTACATAATATAACCGCAGATGGGGGACAATAATTTTGTCACTGACTGTACGAGTAATACGTCCTTAAAAATGACACTTGCAGTGCAGTGTTCTGTTATTTGACAGGATATCTCCCCAAAAGCATTCAACGCCCCAAAGTCCATAATTTCACTCAATTAGAATTAGGGGAAACAGTCGTCGCCATGTGTATATACTTGGTGGATTTTGGTAATGTCGTTGAGGCGAGTAAATATATATATATATATATATATATATATATAGCTCAATATATATATATATATATATATATATATATATATATATATATATATATATATATATTATATAATACTCGAAAAGCGGTCATGTCTATGCGCGAAGGCGCGCCTCTATTGATAATCCATTAGAGCACCTGTCCGAGGCGACAGAGACAATGTACTCATGAACATTTTAGCGAGAAGCACATATATACACATACACACACAATACAAATACATCCGTGTCTCAACACAGGCCATTATAACGATAGGTTTTTTTTTTCTTTCTTTCTTTTTCTTCTTTTTATTTTATTTTCTTGTGGCGACATATGGTCAGGCGTCATCATCTATTGCATTAAAAAATAAAAGAAGAAGGGTGAAAAAAATGTAATTTAAAAAGTTACAACTTCCTTCTTCCTGTGCGATGATAGGGAGCCTATATGCTCCATTTAACAACACTTTAATAGGCAACTTACTTTTTCATATTATATATCCATATAATCTTATAATGGTTTTCCAATAAATTTATTTTTTATTTTTTTTTGAAATTTAATGAAAAAAAGAACAAAAGGTGCATTGTACCATTTTTCTAATCTTCACTTTTCTTCCATTAGGGTAGGGACGAATTTTTTTTTTTTTTTTTTAAACAAAATTGTGGTAAATTATTTTCAAAATGTTTATTATCAAAAATAAATATTTACTTGAATCAAATAATTTTTATTTAATTAAATTTAATTTAAATTAAAATTCAATTTCAATTTAGTCAATAATTTATTAATTTCAGTATTTGAAGAAATAAACACTATTTAATTGATTTCAAGAAAAATTATTTGTCTTAAGTAAATATTTATTTGATAATAGACAAGTAATCGGTTATTGAAATCGAATAAATTTTTTTCAGTGTGATATTATTGAATATTATTACTATTATTATTATTTTTATTATTTTTATTATTTTTAATATTTTTATTATTTGCACGGAAAAACGGTTTAACCTGGAACAGCGATAAGTTTCTCTGAATTAACAAAAGTTTTAATTCACTCTCTAAATTTGAATTAGTAAAAATATTTACTAATTTGAATTAGTGACTGACTTTTTGGTTTTGAAATAGTAAATTTTACTAATAAATTAGTAGAAATTACTATATTTATTTATTAGTATGTAAAATTGAGTAATTCAAAAGCCAAAAGTTAATAATAATAATAATAATAATAATAATAATAATAATAATAATAATAATAATAATAATAATAATAATAATAATAATAATAATAATTATTATTATTATTATTAGCAATCTTTGTGAATAAAAATTTTGTTTGAATTTAGTTTTTTTTCCATTTCGACTGAGATACAAATAAATATATAAATTCCGCTTTGTCGGATATAAAATACGGAAAATATTATTTAAATGTAGATGTTACGTGTGCGCGTTTATAAAGTGGAGAAATTTTAAGGACCATTAGTGTAATAGGGGGTTTTTCCCTTTTCAACCCCAGATTAACTCGGTTTCAAAATTGACCCCTAATTTATTTGTGCGTGAGATAAAATCTTCTAAATATAAATATTTATTTTATTTCCGTGATAAATCAATATTTCTGCAATGTCAAAGATTAATACTTTGTATTAAAAAAAAAAATTTTTTTTATTAATTTTAAAATTTTACAAATTTTATATTTACAAGTGGACTTTTATGAAGAAAAAAACTGAATAAATAAGCAAATTTCTCTTTTATAGTTTTTTCAATTTTACTATTTTTTTCTTCTTTTTTTTTAGTTACTGAAATATAAATAACAATTTTTTCGTATATATGTAAAAAAAACATTAGATTTTTATTACAGAGAAATGGTATAGTTATAAATAATTGCTTATTGTTACAACTGCTTTTATTTTATTATTTTTTATACAAAATAAATAGTTATTAATAATATTATTTTATGATTGCGTAAATATGATTTGAATTTATAGAATGAAAAGTTATTATTTTTAAATTTTATGTGTTTTGAATCGAGGGGGATTTTTATTTTTATTATTATTATTGTTATTATTATTATTATTAATATTGGAAAATTAATTAAAACAATGAAAAAGTTTCTATTATTTTTATTGTTATTTATATTTTTATTATTCTTAAGCATTTTTGTACGACAATTATTTGAAACCCGTTTGTGCTTAAATAAATAAATTATTTTTATTATTTTTTTTTTTTTATTATTATTACTACTATTATTTTCATTATTGTTATTACTATAATTAATATAATTGAAATTTCCAAAAAAAGATGATAATAAATGTTACTCACTTTCTCGATATTGAATGACGCTCTCGTGACGGGTATTAATGATCATGCATCGATAACAGCTCTCCGTACTGTGAAAAATAATAATTAGTCAAATAAAACAAACTATTATTAATTAAACATCGTTTCCTAATTATTTCCAATTATAAAATTTAAGCGTAAATTTTCCACAGAAATTTTCCAATTCTTTTAAATAATATTGCAATAATTAAGTACTTTTTGTAATTATTTACTTATTTATTAGGTACTATTATTTATTTATTTATTTATTTATTATTATTATTTTATTATTCTTATTTTATGAATATTATTGTTATTATAATAAAAATTATCTTTAATAGTTATATTATTTTTTATATTATCTTATATATAATACCTAAATAAATAAATATTACTATTAATAATTAATAATTATATAATTACTATAATTATTATAATTATCATTTTTATTTATTTTGCAATTATTAATTATTACTATTATCGTCTATTACTAGTATTTATTTAAATTTCTCATTTATTATTCGAGAACTGAAATTATATTAATATTATATTTAATATTTCTATATTATTAAACATTCCGTTGGCTTTGAATTTGTTTCGGGCACAATTTTTTTTTTACATTAGCCAATATTACATTTAATTCAACAATTAAAATAAAGAATGATATTTTTATAAAATAATAAATTTATCTTCTTATTTTAATGTAAATCCATAATTAAAAAGTAAAATTTCAATTCACCTTTATTTCATTTTCATAAATTAAATTAGTTGTTCAGTGAGAGTTAAATTTTGTTAAATTTATTTTTCCTCTTGTTATAAATAAATTTAATTAAGCGTACCTATACTATTAATATTAAATATATTGATTTTCTTTACTCTAATTAGAATATTTAATTTTTGGCTAATTAGTAAAAGCAATTATAATTATGTTCTTTGAATATAATTATATTGTACTCTCTAAAATATAAATTAGTCGAAAATAAGCAAAATAATGAATAGCAACCAAAGAACAAAAAATTACCATTATAAATAAAAATAAAAATAAAAATAAAAATAATTAATAAATAGTAAAATTTTGGCTGATATTTTACTTCAGCTAATAGTAAAAAATAATTAATTATTAAAATAACTGTTAAAATAGTCAAAATTGTCTAATTAAATTATTTACTCTCTTTTGAATTAGTTAAAAATAAAATCTTAAAATATTTACTAATTTGAATTAGTGACTGACTTTTTGATAGTAAATTAGTAAATTTTACTAATAAATTATTAGAAATTACTATTTATTAGTAAAATTTGCTACAAGTCAGTCACTAATGAAAATTAATAAACATTTTATAACAAATTAAAATTTAGAGATATTTCAAATATAATCTAATAAAGGTAATTACAACATGTATGTAATTTATTTATTGATAAAATTCTACACTAAATGGATATTGAAATTAGTTAAATAAATATATATGAAAATGATTATTCAATAGGAAAGAGATTATACATAGTGCTTTCTACTGGATTCAATAATGGATCAATAATTTTGCGTTGGAAGCATCTCGTTTCGCAATCGGATTAAGGCATTAATTTTGCTATTTGAAGAAGCAAAGAGAATAATAATTAAGGCTTAAAGCGTATAATGTACATATATACATATAAAGGAGAGAGATAAAAATTTACTCACTTATCGTAAACTATGAATACATCATTCTGGTTACTCTCGATACAAGTTTTGTTATCGAAAGTTGTTGCATTCACAATGACTGGTGCTTCACGAGCATTTAAAAACCATTTCCCTCGCCAACCCTGTGGAAATTCACATTTTCCTGAAACAGAAAATTTTTAATATTAAAACAATTATTAATTACACTCCTCTCAATTAGTAAATTATTATAATCATAAATACCAATTCGTTTGCAATTTTATTTTTCAAGTATTTATTATTATTATTATTATTATTATTATTATTATTATTATTATTATTAAAATTATATTTCCACTAAATATTATTAATTCTATACACATGCTTCATTAATTTTATTTAAATAATTTCGATAAACAATTTCATTTTAATGGAAAATAATGATAATTTAATGGAAAATACAAATAATATAAAAGTATAGGTAAAAATAAGAAAATAATGAAAAATACAGAAAAATTTAAAAAATATAGAAATATGAAAAATATAGGGGAGAGTGGTCAAGGTTGGATAATGGCGCTTATTTCGTTTTATCACATAGCGACACCAACTTTTTTACAATGTTTAGCAAAAACATTTCATTTTAGTAGAACTTTCCAATAATATAAGAGGAAATCGTCAAATTCGGTAGACAGGAGAAGTTATAGAAAACAGTCAGAACCTGATCCAACCTTGACTACTCTCCCCTAAACATACGAAAAATACGAAAAGTAGAAAAAAATCGAAAAATACGAAAAATACAAAAAATACAAAAAATAGAAAAATACGAATAATAAAGGAACAATGAAAATAAAGAAAAATCCTCTATGAGAAAGAAAAATTTATGAATAAAAAAATTTTTTTTCCCCACTGAAAAATAGAGAAAATAATAGTTTTTTGTTACTCCTTTTTCTTTTTGTAAATATATTATAATAATGTTTGAATAAATAAGAAAATAAAGAGGAGATAATCACTTTAAAAAAAAAGTGAGGAAAAAATACATCAAATATAGATTTTTTCCATTATTCGTATTTCTTTCTTTCGAGTAAATATAAATATAAACAAAAAATTGTCAATTAATAAAAAACCCACTAATTGACTAGTTTTATTTTATCACACTCGAGGATTTATTAAACAATTTTCGCAGTGATGAAAACAAAACAAAAAATTGTAAAAATTTCAAATTTCGAAATACTCGCAATATTTTTCAACAGATTTCAAAAAATATGAGAGGTAATAAATTTTCCATGTGTCTACTTCTCATGTAGATAAAAATATAATTAAACAAAAAAAAAATCTTCTTACGTGAATATAATATCATTACTAAAGAAAATTCAACTTTTATGTGTATTACAAAGTTTTATTAACTTTTGATGTAAAAATAATTCTCTTTGTATATTTATACGAATGAATGTATTTTTATCATATATTTTATTTTTTCATATCATTTAATAATATTTAAAAATAAATTTTTAAAGTTTAAATCTATTTTCTCTTTTCTTCATATATTTTATGAACAATGCTTTAAAATATTAAATTTCTCATTTTCTTTTCTCTAAATGTATTAGAAAAATTTTCTTTATTTTCAATTTCAAAATTAGCAACTTTGGACAGATTTCTAGTTTTTATTATAACGTTAATTAACTTTTAAAAATTCTTAATCTTTATAATTAATTGAATTAAACAAGTTTTAATTAATTAAGTAGTTAATTTTAATTTATTAGGCAATTAATTCAAATTCATTACGTAAGTAATTTAAATTAATAGAATATTAATAAGTCGACAATTTCTATTCATTGCTTAATGAAATATAAATTTAAATTAATAGAATATTAATAAGTCGATAATTTCTATTAATTACTTTATGGAATATTAATTTTAATTAATAAAATATTATCCAAAATTATTTCAATTTTAGTTGGAGTTAATAAAATCTTTATTAAATTTAGTAAAATATTAATTTAAATTAAATCAATAGAAATATAATTTAAAATAATAAAATATTTTCAAAAATAGTTAATATTTCAATTTCTTAAACTAATTTGTTTGTTTCTTGGCTTAAACTTTCAGAGTTTGGTAATTTTGATCTAATTTTTTTTAATAAATTGTTTTTAGACCTATTTATTGAAACTTTTCTGAATTATTTACCTATTTTTTCGAGTCGTTGTTTTTTGACCTAAACAAACTGACTAAATTGGAGCTTATTTTTTATATTTGACCTAAAATTTTAAGACCTTGCTTTATTCTTGACCTAATTTTCTGAGACTTTGATTTTTTACCTAAAAAATTTTTACATAAAAAAGTTTTTGTTTCATTCTTGACCTAAATTTAAATTTAAGTTTTATATTTGACCTAAGATTTTAAGAATTTGCTTAAAATTAACTGTCAGTGATATTTGATCTAAAACTTATTTTGTTTGTTTATTTCTTGACCTAATTTTTTTTAAACTTTGTTCTCGTTTTTAACTATTTTATCGAGTACTTATTTGTTTCTTGACCTAAATTTGAATTTAAATTTTGGTCTAAAATTTTAAGACTTTGCTAGTCATAAACTGACGATTTATATTTGACCTAAAATTTTGAGGCTTTGTCTTACTTCTGACCTGAAAATTCTTTAAGACTGCTTTTTTTGACCTCATTTTTCGAGACTTTTATTAATTTCTCGTCTATTTTTCCTTGTTTTTCAAACCTAAATAAGCTAACTTTTGAGCTTACACTTTACATTTGACCTAAAACTGATTTTGCTTGCTTGTTTCTTGACCTTAATTTTTTGGGTCTTTGTTTACTTCTTCACCTATTTTATCGAGTTTTTGTTTGCCTCATGACCTAAATTAAATTTGAATTTAAATTTTGTATTTGACCTAAAATTTTTAATCTTTGCTTGATATGAATTATCGATTTTTATTTGACCTAAAATTTTGAGACTTTGTCCTATTTGTGACCTGAATTTTTCGAGATTTTGCATTTTTTGACCTAATTTTTTTAGATTTTGTTTACTTCTTCACAGATTTTTTCTAGTCTTCGTTTACTTTTCGACCCGAATTCCAGCGTACGCTTTATATTTGACCTAAAAATTAAAAATTTTCTCGATCCGAACTATCGATTCATATTTGATCTAAAATTTCAAGGTTTTGTTCGATTTTTCCCTTAAATTCAAGTTAAGTTTCAATCTAAATTTGATTTAACCTTTTCTTTTGACCTGAAATTAAATTCAATTGAATTAAATAAAAACATAACGTAAAAATAGTTTTTGACCTAAAAATTTAGTTATTTCTATCTCTTGACTTAAAACATTTTCTTTTAATTAAATTAAATTAAATTTAATTTTAATTTCTTTTAATTCGTTTAATGGTTTAAGAAAAATTAATTTTTAAGAATTTAGTTTAACTGTTTGGGTAAAATATCTAGGTCAAAGATTTATATTATTATATTTATAAATTAAATTTGAAAACATTCGAGTGAGAAAAATAGGGCAAATAAAGAAATGATTTTTTTCTACGATTGCTGTATTTATTTATTTTTTTTTTTATTATTTGTATAAAGTTATTTTGCTTACTGATGTTAAATTAATTTGAAGTTTGCACTAGACTAACTTGAAAATGGATTTTGAGTAATATTGACAAACGTGCTCCCAATTCTTTTTGGAATTTTTGAAGCGAAAATTTTTACACACGTTTATTTTTATGTGTGTATATAAAATAAATATATAAATGTGAGTTTGTGTGTGTGTCTCTAATGCCTTAACTGAGAGCAGTTAATACTACAATGCGGGTTACTTTAACGACCGATTGAACTTTTCACAAAGGTTGTCAGAGCGCTTATTCAAAAGCTTGACGGATAAAAGGCGTTTCTTACTCTTTTTCCTGATAGGTGATATTGAATTTTTCCTTGGACTTTTTCTAATTTATCGACTATTAAACGACAAGTCGAGTTGAATGTTTGCACACGACATTAAAGAATTTTCCAGTCATTTGAATGGAATAAGTCTAAAAGTCATCGACAAAATTAAGACTAAAAAAAGGGAGAATTTATAATTTGTCCTTTTCTCTTTTTTTTTTGAACTAAAATTTGCAAATTTATTTATTTTTATTTATTTTTATCTCTTCTTTTATTGAAAACAAAGAGTCAGTTCGTTTCAAGTTTTTTTAGTTTCTCTTTTTTTAAATTCAAAAATTATTTTCTCATTGTTTCGAACGTTCGAATGAACGACGATTTTTTTTTACTTCTTTTAATTTGTATTTTTTTACAAAAAAAATATCCATTAAAAAAATTGTATTTAATTAAGTAAATATGTGTTAATTATTAATTTAATTATTTTTCTTTCTTGATTAGTAATTTTTAAAAATATTTAAGTAGAAAAAATTTTTTTTCATTTGAACGATTAAAAACTTTAGGAAAATTAAAAAAATACTTAATAATAATTTTACTTTCAATTGTATTATTAATATTAAAATTAATAATTATGATCGATCTTAATTATTTTTTCCAAATTTTGGTATTTATTCCACTGTTTTTATTTTTAATTTAAATAATCATTCAGATTTTAATTGAAAAAAACAATTTGCTTAAATTGAAAAATAATTAAATTTTTCTTATTAAAAAGTACAAAAATATTTTTAGAAATATAAAAAAATTTATATTCATCTCTAAAGAAGAAATTAAATTGAACTCATTTCAGTAATTTGTTCATAGTAGATTTATCAAATTATATTGTGTTGCTAATAATATTAATTGTCATTATATCCAATTGTTCTGTTTTAAATTATTGTAATTAAAAACAATTTATATTTCTATAAACTTGGAAAATATGTCACGGATTGCTATATCTACTATTCTACGTATATATTGAAAATTTGATTAATTTTAATAGATTCAAAACTAATGAAAAATGACATTTTTCCTATAAATTTTTTTTTCCGTTTAAGAATAGAAAATTTTTGCATTTTCATTTGAATGATACATGGGAAAAATACTTTATAAATATTTATAAGCGTCTGAACTCAATTATTTTAAATATCGCCTTTAATCGATATTATTTACGTTTATAAAAATTCACAAGATGAAAATATTGATAAATTTTGCAAAAAAAAGGGGGCTGGAAAAAAATTTGAATTGTAAAATTGTTTTTCTATTCAATTTACTTGTTTAT